TATCCGCATACAAAACATGCATTTGCATGCTTCTACTTATGTACGATATTATCCGATAATAGTAACCAGGTATCCATCTGAAAACGGCCGGAGATATTATAACCGGCTTGAAACCTGATTTTTTTTCTTAGCCCGAATTATTCTTTCTAGGAACCATATACAAAACTAGCATCATAGAAAAAAAAGAAACGACCAAATTAAAGTTTTTTAGTTAATCAAATTTTATGGTCAAAAGGTTAAGCTAAAATTTAAAATTTAAAAGAAAAAGTTAAATTTATTCGTCATTCTGGAAATAAATAGAGAGAATATGGCCTTACAAGCCTTGCAGTAATATATACACAAATTTTTTCTTCTTTTTTCGTGCCACTTTTTACTGCGAGGACTCTCTCACTACAAAGCTTCCGGCGGTGTTTTGCTCAACACAAAATCGATGGAAACTTCGAGAAAAAAAGAGGGAAGATACTTTATTGGAGGAAATTATAGGGAAAAACTGAGGTTTACGTCGAGACTTGAAAACCTTCCTGTTTTTAAGTACACCCTTGGGAAAGATAAAAAATTTTGTGACTTCCGGCGGTTTTTAAAATATTTGTTGAGTGGTGTTTAAAATCTAAACTCAAAATCGAGGATGTTTATATTAGATATTGGACCGTTAGAGATTTCGGTCATCATTACAGTATCACGGTTATCAGATCGCAATTTTTCGTATAAAGCTGAACTGGGCTATCTATTAGGCCTTCAGTAATGTAAAAGGTTAAATTGCGGACCGTTGTGTTATGCGCTAAATCACGCCGCTTCATGCATAGCCTTAGGAATTAAATAGCTATATCTCGAGTGAATTATTAAAACCTAAAACCGATATCCTTAATCTCTAATATTTGAACAGAAAATTTCGGATTTTTTTGGGTATACCGAAAGTACCCAAAAACGGCAAGTAATAGGTGTGGTGTAATTATTTGAGAGTGGATAATTATTCGAGATATACAGTATCCGAGTAGTTCTCACTCGGTTGGATGACAGGAATCGCCGAGCTTCCAAACACAACTCATGCCTAACAAAAATGTTTTTCATAAAAATTTCTATTAAAGTTTTCAACACATTCTAGAAATATATAAAGGATTATATATAAAATGCCTGATATCCAAGTCCATTCCCAAAGGATTTAAGAGGATTGAAAAAGACATAAAAACGTGGGAAAGTTTTGGGAAACAACAAAACTCATTATTTATTTAAATTATATTTTTTTATGTTCATTTATTCTTGCTTAAGACAGGGGCGGGAAATAATGGAGGGGATAATCATTTATTTTTACCCGTTACCTCGAAGTATCAAGTAAGTAAAAATAAAAGGAAGAGGGATAATTAAAGTTTCGAGGCCCCAGTTTTTACTCAGAATCCAAGCATTCATGTTTAATCAGAATGGGATGCCGGAGAAAGAGTATCGAAATCTTGAAATAGTGGAGAGGTTATCATTTTTTACGTGAAAATCTGCTGTATATCCAGATTGATAAAGAAACCGCTGTATTAGACTAACCTTTACAGACTCGTATCTAGGGCTAGAAAACCCAGACCTGGTCACGGATACTGATTTTGGTATCCGTATCCGGATATTTACGGCGGATACAGCCGGATACAGGCGGATATCCGCAGGCATTTTGGTATTATCTGTATCCATATCCGTATCCATGACCATGTCTGAGTAAACCTACGCAGAGCTTACCACCATTATTTTTCTTAAGGTATTTTTTGAGGGCTACAAGCAAGGCTGCCGCGAATGTATATTATAGTATCGGATTTTTAAATCAATTTAGAACCATGAATTAATTAGTCTGTCTATGCGCGCACCGCCAAATGCTCTGTTGCGGACAACGGATTGCGTCCGCATAAAATTTTCCTAATTGCGGACAAATACAATTAAATAGATTAAATTAAAATTGGGAATCAATTTGTAATTTTATTTGTTAGAAAATTTTTTTTTAATTTAGAATTCGTCATAAACAAACAAAAAACTAATAAAAAAAGTTCCACAAATGAAGGCAAAAAAAAGTTTTTTTTCTATTCCCCCTCCTTTTTGGCTTTTCAACTTTGCGTGTATAAAAGCGCCACAAAGTTTTTGGCAAATGTAAAAAAAAAGTTTTTTATAAAGCAATAGAAAAAAGAAAAAAAAATTATTTTACGGCGCTATGAGTAGAATTGAATTGAATATATTTTTCTTTTTTTTTATTTTTTTAGATGGACTTGTATATAGGGAGAAAATGAATAAAACAAACATAGACAAAACAATGCTTTTGATGATGAAAAAATTTTTTGTTTGTGGGAGTATTAGGCGGAAGTTGACGGTTCTCGTTTCTCTCTAGTCTGTCGAGAGGAGAAAGTGGAAAAATTGAAAAGAAAAAGGAATGAGAGAGGAAAAATTATTGAATTTATGTAAAATAGGGGAGAAGCCTTTCTACCGCTGCTAGGACTGCCGCAACGCATAGCTTAACGTAAAAATGTCGTAGGACGTTAATTTTGGTACCATTCGACGCAGCTTGAAGAGCTGCGTCTAAAAATACCAAAATTGCATAGATTCAACTTTTACCAGCCAAGTTATGAGCTCTCAAGTAGACTGCGTTGGGGTAGACAGGAGTGTACTATGTAAAATGTTTGCGTGCTTATATGCAAAGAAGTTAATAATTTTTTTGTTTTTAAATACTTTTTGTATTTGTTATGATAAATTAAATGGGGGTTTTAAAACAAAAATAATAATAATGCACAGCAGGTTGCCAAGCGTCCGCAAGCGAAGAAAGTTTAGGAAGCAGTTGTGGACAGACTTTTTTACTGAGAACTGGAAATAATTTTAAGAATATAACGGTCATAACTAATCAAAGAGTACAAATGGTTATGATAAACAATAGATATAAATTATTATCCAAGCTCGTGAATTAGGAATGTCTAGTCGCTAATAACAGGGATACTATTATGGAGCATAAGTGAACCAGTGGTCCGTTTGAGAGGCAACTGAGAGGCAGCGAGTGACAGTTTCGCCCTTCGGATTTTAAAATCAATTTCGGCACACTCCTGCTGAGAAACACGTTATAGAGGTTCTACCAAATAGATCTCAAAGGGACTGAAAAGAATCAAAGGTCCAACTGTCATACTTATTAAAATTTTACCCCGCCTATTTTCAGCAAGTATAAATTTGGGGGACAGGACCAGCCAAAAATTCAGTTTTTGATTCCACTTCTTGGAAAAGATAAAGGAGCGGTCCTGTCCCCCTTTTTTCACTCCCCATTTTATTTACTTTTATTTAATTAAATAAACGTTTAAAAGAAAGGAGTGTTTTAATTGGTGCAGCGGACCGCGACTCGCGGGTTGGGTTCGCCCAACTCGCGAGGCCCAACGGTCGCGCTTAGTCAAACATTAAATGGTGCTCCCAGGCGGTTCCGCCAAAATGTACAAAAATGTGTTTTAATTCGCCCAAAATTTTTTATTTTACCCCATCCATCAAATAAATTAACCCAAATTTTCTCCTTTTTTCGCGCAAATTTTCACAATTTATTTTATGGTTAATTAATCAAATAATTTTAATCTGGTTTTTTCTCTACAATAATTACTTCGCCACACCCAAACATTAAACTAATTAGCCCCTCCAAAATTCCTTCACACAAATTCCGCTCCGATTAAATACAATTCATTTCTCCTTTTTTTTATTTTATTTTAACCATTTCCACCTCTTCTTGCAAATATTTTAAGCAATTATCCGCGTCAAGTCTACCTCTAGGTTCGGTTTCTCGAATAAAGGTAAAGGTCTGCTTTCGATCCCCTAATCATTCGCTTTACCGAGTATAGTCAAATTTCAACAATTAACATTTATTTAACAATTTTTGCGATTAAAGGTTGACATTGCGAAATGGGTGAGAAATAGAGGGGAAATTACTAGATAATAAGGGATATTCAGTCTTGGGTTTCTTCAGCATTTTCTTGAATTTAAGCGCCACAAGAACGAGTAGAAGAAGGAGAGTGAGAGAAGTCAGTGCGAAGTTCAGGGGGTGCCAAACACTTTTCTCCGGGGCTGAATCTTCCAAAAATCGGGGCGCAGTAGGTGAGCAGAATGTCGGTTCTTCCCATAATTCAACACCCCAACAAAAGGTGGAACAGTTGTGAGCCGGAAGGCACGTTCGAGAGTTAAATTGAACTTGTTCCAAAGCTAAAATAGGGCCCTTTTTAAAAATTTAATAAAATAACCCCAATTCCCTGCTTAACCGTCCTAGATCCCATCGGCCAATGGTTTTAGGATCCCTTTAGGGCAAATTGCTAGCAAATAAAATAAAATAGGGTTAAGTATAATTGGGAGAGAAAATAATAAATTAATATTTTAAAAATTGATTTTAGTTTTGGAAAATTTCAATCTTAAAGTTGTTTGAAAGCTGGATAGTGTTGAACCTGAATCGGACGGATCTGAAACTGAAAAGGAAGATAATATCGAGTACCAAACACCCCGACAAAAGCGATACCAACAAATCCTGCAGAAAAGAGAGGAAATGTCTTTGGAAGTGGAAGGCGTTAAGAAGCGAGTGAAAAGTTTAGAAGAAAGTAGTGTCGAGAGAGGAGCGGGAGGACTACCGTATCCGAATTTCTTTAACGGAACGGAAGACTTCCTAACGTATCTGAAGGGGTTCAATAGGGTGGCGACTGCGCATGGTTGGCAGCCAGCGCGGTGCTGCCAGATTTTGCCAATATATTTGCGCGGCTCGGCGCTGGCTGTCTATGAAGGGTTGCCTGAGGAGGAAAAGGCAACTTGGAAAGGACTTGTTGAAGGATTAGCGAGTAGATTAAAGAGAATTTCGACAAGGGAAGTGGCGAGATTGAAGATGATGGAGAGGAAGCAAAAGGTGGGAGAGTCTGTGGAAGAGTTTGCGGGCGTTTTGCGAAATTTGGTGGAGTTTGCCTATCCCGACACCTGCTTGGAAATGGATTTAACGGGATTGACATTAGGAAATGAGGTGGTAAAAAATGTGAAGGGACAGCACGAAGAAATGGCTAAGAGGTTTAGGGACGAGCAGTGTAGAGATCGGCTGAGAGCGGGGCTGTTACCGGAGATAAGAGAGAAGGTGATTTTTATGGAGGAGCCAGTTTCGCTGGCGGAGGCCGTGACCCAAGCTAAAAGAGTGGAGGAATTGACAAACTCTCTCAAAGATGATGTTTGGAGGCGAACAAAAGAGATTGAGGTGAAAGCAACGCTCGCGGAGGTGAATGAGATTAGAGCCAATAGAAATAGGGAGTTTGTGAATATGAGAGAAGGGCAAAACAGCCAAGGCCAAAATTATCGCCAAAATAACAATTATAGAGATAACCAATGGAATAGAGGGAATAGAGGAAATTGGAGGGGACAATCGAACCGTTACTCGACATGGAACCAAGCGAACCGAGGCAATGGAAATTTTCGGAATTTTAACAACCAAAGGGGCCAAGGCTGGAATAATGGGCAAAATCGAAACCCGAACATGATCCCAACACCAAATTTTAGATCCAATGGACGAGGGAGAGGCACAAATTTAAATAGAGGAGGTTATCGGATTAATGAAACCAGTTTTCCCTATATTTGTTTGATGGCCATAATCTGCGGAATTTTGACGATAACTGAGGCCCAATTTCAAATATGCGCAAAACCATTTTCGGAAATTACGGGAATAGTGAAAGATTTCCCCGATGATAATAACTGTACGCTACCGATAGAAGAAACTCCGACACGCGCCAAAATAAATATTTTTGTCCCGATCAGATTACCAAAGAAATTTCAAGTTTTACGATGCCAAAAATGGACTATAAAAATGTGCACTGAGTCATATTTTGGAATATATAGAAAAGAGAAAAATTGGAATATTTATTTGGAAAAAATTTCAAAAGAGGAATGTTGGGAGACATGGGATAAACGGTTATTACAAACAATGGGAGAAAAAGTATGGCAGACACCTAGAAATTGGGAGAAAGAGCATTCATTTTTCGGAGAAAATTGCAAGAATGTGACGGGGTTGACTATAGAGGAAGGCACAGGCGCGATTTTAGAGGGAAGAAAGTTGGTGACTAGTTGGGGTGACGAGTTTTTAGTTGAAAGGAAGGACGATGAACTAGAAGGGTGGACTAAGCATTTACAGACAGAAGAGATATTGATATGGAGAATTCCAGGTTGGGCCTATTGGAATACACATTTCCGAGTGGGACCAGTAAATTCGGAAATTTGGGCGCAAAAAACGGTGGTTGTGGACGAAATGCAATACTCATTTGTTTATCATAAAAATGGAACTCACCCGGAAAATGTGTATGGATTACCCGAAAAAGCTTTAAGAATGGAAAATGATGTTTTTGTTGAAATATTAGAGGAAAATGGGGAAAATAAAACAAGAGTCAGAAGGCAAGGTGGCACAGGAGTTTTGAAGAAAAATAGACGGTTATTTGAAATAAAGACAACCATCCCAGTAACCACCACGGAGAAGCCTAGAGAAATGGAAACCACTCTTCGGGTAACTACAATAAGGAAAATAGTTAGTACTGAAACAAGTAAAATGACCACCCCGATCTGGAAAGTAACCCCTACAGCTAGAGCTACGACCCCAAGAGCAATAACTAAAGTAGAGACAGTAAAGACCACAGAAAGGACAAGAATTCAGACGCCAATCTGGAGAGTAACCCCGACCACGAGCAAGCCGACACAAAAGACGATAGTCCCGAATCCAAAAATAATCTCAAGCACACAACCAAGTACCACAAAGAGAATAATTACTCCGGCAAGAGGCACCCCGGTAAGAATAACCACCCCGAAAATGACTACAACGAGCCCCACTCCCAGAATGACAAGCACCACGAAGATAAATTTCGTAAAATCAACAGTTAGACCCCCATTTAAGCAGAAAGCCCTTCCAACAACTAAGAGACCACAGATGAGGGACGATGTTAAAATTCCTAAAGTAACAAATCCGGCAAGCAGAAATGCTAATATAATTGAGACGACGGAAAGGACGACGACCACGTTAGTGATGAAAAGAGATGTTTCAGATAAGCCTTGGCTCGACCCAAAAGATGAAAATCATGCAAATTCGAGATTAAATTATTTGGATTGGAAGACCGAACAGAGACGAGTACTCGAAGCAAGGGAAAAGTGGATCACAGATTGCCATAACCGAAACAGTCAATTATCTATCGCAAGGGCTCTAGCGAGAGAAATGCCGGAGCAGGCGGCGCGTTCGTTGTATAATAGGGATGACATAACGGCAACATTATTAAGTACGGAGGATGGAAAAATCAGATGGCAGCTAAATAAATGTAGGCAGGTAAAAGCCGATTCTATTGATTGGACTCAAATGGTAGGGAAAGATTGTTACAAAGAGACTCCAGTTACAGTAAATAAGAAAAGATATTTTTTGAAACCGGGAGGAAGAGATTTAATTAGTGAAGGGACACAAATAGATTGTTTAAAGAAAAAGAGGCCAAGTAATGACAAAAATGCAAATAAAACGAAAATAGAAGAATTAAATATAATTAGCTCATTCCAAACCAGTCCGCAAATAAACAGGCAAAATCCACTTATTTTTAATGTGGGGAGCATTTTCGAGTCAGACCAAACGAGATTGGACCAAAATATGCAAGATTTGACGAAAAGATTAAACCGGCCAGAGCTAACATTTCCGGAGGAAACAGAGACTGAATTTGAAGAGGAAAATAATTCCACAAAGGGGACAGTTCGAGCCATACTTGCCCAAGGGAATAAGGCGTTCCAAACAGTGGTGGAGCAAGGAAATGTCCTCATTGGAAAATCATCTGAAGTTCTAGAAAAGGGGAAAAATTTTTGGGAGGACCCTTTCGGAATTAAGTCGACAATAAAAATGATTTTGGCAGTGATCGCAGGCGTCGCATTACTGATTGGATTGTGTGTTATTTACTGGAAAGGGAGGATCTATATAATGTTAATAATAAACGGAATAAGGACTGGTGCAAGAATGGCAAATTTCATGATAAATTTACTACTACCCAGACGAAACCAACCAATTACAGTTTCAGCTGTTGAAAGAAGATTAACCCCCACGGCTCCATTAGCGGAAGAAGTACTTGAGGAAGAGGCATACATTTTAAATTTCATCCCGAAAGTATACCAAGTGACTTCAAAAAAGAGAAGATGCCATATAAATATAACCTTAAATGGGAATAAGACGAGAGCACTTTTTGACACGGGGGCAGACATAACCTATGTGAGTAAAAAGGTAGCTGATGCTTGCGGAATGAAGATAAATAAAGGAGATTTCCCGCAAGCCCAGGCCGCGAATTCAACACCCATTTTTCTTATTGGCTCAGCTAACACCTTTGTTGAAATTGGAAATTTTCGCACAACTTTCCCCATTTTAATTTCCGAAAATGAAGGATGTCCCGGAGGCGCAATTATAGGAACTGATTTAATGGAGGAGATAAATAAACAAGAGGACTATATGATTGGAATTGATTTTAAAAGAGGCGAAGTACATCTGGGAGGAACTTCGCTGCCCATGGTTCATGCCATAAATTCGGAGTGGAAACCGATGGCTGTCCAATTGTTAAAAACTCATTTACTACCAGCTTTGTCCGATTCATTAGTTTGGGGGAAAATAAATAAAGGAGCAGGTCCGGAGGAACAATTTATAACAGTTGAAAGGGAACACAAATACTTTCCAATTCGAGTGGGAAAATGTTTGGTTAAGCCAATGGCCAAAAGAATTGTTCCCCTCAGATTATTAAATTATGGAAATGCAGAAATTAAAGTACATGCAAACTCGAAATTAGCGAATCTAGAGCCCATATGGAGTGAGCTTAAAATTGAGACAGTGATAGAAAAAGAGGAAGCATTTATGACTGACGAAGAGTGGAAAGAGTTTAAAGAGAGAGTTGATCAAATACCTGAAGAAGCTAATTGGATAAAGAGATTGCCAGACGAGCCAATAAGTAATCCTGAGAAACCAATTTTTGAAAGGATAGTGTTGGATGGAACAATTTTGAGTAGAGAAGGATTGGTAGAATTAAAACAGATTTTAGAGACAAATAAAGATGCCTTTGTGAAAGAGGATGGAAGGATTGGAACATTTAGGGGAAAGACGGTTCACAAAATTGACCTAATGGATGGGGCCCGGCCCTTACAGAATAGACCGTATAGATACCCGCTGCATTTACAAACCGAGATAGAGAAGCAAATAAAGACATTATTGAAACAAAACATTATACGACCCTCGAATTCAGCCTGGGCGTCGCCGATAGTACTTGCGCGCAAATCGGATGGGAGTTATAGATTTTGTGTTGACTACAGAAGACTTAATTCCATAACCAAAAAACAGACATATTATCTTCCCCGAATTCAAGACTTGCTCGATTCAGCCATGGGAAAGCAAATATTTTCAGTGTTTGACATGAGTTCCGGATTTCATCAGATAAAATTAGCCAAAGGCCATGAAGAGAGAAGCGCCTTTATTTGTCATTGTGGACTCTTTGAATATTTGAGGGTTCCGTTTGGACTATCAGGAGCACCCACAACGTTCCA